TCTTTCTCTCATTCTCTTTGTCTGTCTCTTTCTCGCTCTGTCTGTTTCTGTCTCCTCTCTGTTTCCCTCTGCATAAAGGCTAGCTGCTTGCCGATAGCGTCGCACAAGGTACGAACGCGCTTTGTAATTCAAAAATGTGTTTCAATCCCAGCTGCGGGCGATTTTTCAGCAGACCACCTTGCGTTGGTTTCGGCAGAGGTATCGAGAGCCGACCGTTCACAGACTCGTTGTCTGCTGCCTTTGATCTCTTCATGCAACAGACAAAACCAAACACACTCCGTGTCGTCTCTACAACGAAGTTTGGCTACAGTGTACCCACTGTTGTCTCTAGGGATATTACATGGTGATTCTCGTCCACCTGACGAGAATGTCATGGTACCAACTTCTTCTTCTTTTTCTTCTGCGTTCGACATCAGTCATGCTAAACATTGAGTCCCGTCTGGGTCACAAATAGGATTGTGCGTTTAAGGTCGCCGCCGGTCCCCAACAGCTTCTCTTTCAACGTGGCTCCCTTGGGCCAGATCCACAGTCTTTGCTGGGAGAGGTAAGGGCAGTACTGTAGTATGTGCCCAGGGGTCTGTCTTTCTGCTCCACAATACCAACTATCAATTTGTGTAGTTCTTTCTGGCCTATCGCTATGAAGACGGATTCATCAGCATAACGTAAGCTATTAATGTTATGACCAACCATCAAAATTCATGACATACCCATGATAGATCACATTTTATATACACTGTATAATGAAAACAAATCAGGTGATAGTACACATCATTGTCTTACTTCTTTAAAGGGATATATAGATTCATATCCCCCCCCCCCCTCCTTTATCCCAGGACAACTGTCACCAGACTGCATGGTATTTTGTGAGTGCCTTCCCCTGCATAATTTATTTACCAAACGGTAAATATGGCTGCAGGTCTGGGGACGGTTACAGAGCTCCTCCCCACGTCCTAGCTGGAACTCTGTCCACTACCGGCTTGTGTTACAGCTGTTTGACCGCATATATTTTAAAGTAACGTAAGATATTTTTGTTTGTGTAATGTAATAAAAACTAATATGTCATTGCTGTGTAAATATTGAAAGTTGCAATAATATTATTATTTAATAATATTATTTAGTTATAGTAATTTTCATTTCTCAATATTAAATTTCAATATTTATTAATAATATTATTTTAACCCTTTTAGCACGGGAAGTTTTTCAGAGGTCTAGCCAAAAACACGGAGCATTTTTTCAGTGAATTTGGTTATTACTTTATTTAAATTTTTTGACAGATTTCTGTTATTCTGACCCCCATGAAATCATAGATCTATTTGAAGGATATAAATGGAAGTTCATGATTTTCACAATATCTTTAAAATTAATTGATGTATATGCAAATTATCTCATTTGCATATCTAAAAATAGAAAATTTAAATTTAAATTTTCAACTTCAATGCTTGAAAAACTAAAAACAAAAATTGTTTTTATTTGAAATCTTTTTATTGATTTTTGGCCTTTTTGCAAACGTAGGCAATTCAATAGTCAAAACAGGTATATATATATATATATATATATATATATATATATATATATATGAAACAGCAATAATATCTTTAGGTGACATGTGTTTTTCACCATCAGTCAGCACAAGAAATGGATGTGCCGGAGTGTCAACACCTTCGGGTGGATATACCCTAAGCCATGGTTGGGCTGTGACTGAACACAACAGCGTCCCCATCTGATTCCCACTATTACTACTAACACTAAATCCTGCATCAGTATCAACAGAATTAGTGTCATCACTTGATTCAAATGTTTTATCAACGTCAAGTTTAGAGGCAGAAACATACGAGTCAGACATACTTTTAGCGGTTCAGGTCACTATCTAAAAAATTCAACAACAATTTTCACTTCGATACCAAACACTCGAAAGTCGCCATGTGTAAAGCTGATACAGCAGTTAATATAAATGAATCACTTTCAGTGTTTCAAAATAGGAGATTTCTTAGCGGTTCGAGGCGAAACACGATCGGGCCGATGATGGGCTGTTCCGTGTTTTTGGCCAGACATCCGCCGGCCAATAATCGGCCCGTCCGTGCTAAGAGGGTTAAACATGCAACCGTTTGCTTCAATTTTTTTTTTTTAAAGTTTAAGTATATGTTATAAAATTATGTTTTTAAACGGTAGGCGCTATAAAAAAATACAATTCAACGGTACCGTATTCAACTTCAAGTTCTCAGCTCTCCTTGCAATAACGTTCGCTACTTGGACGCTGACGGTTGCTTAGTCGGAGTTCACTCCCTTGGCTGCAGTGCAAATACGGAGTGGTAATGAGGGAACGAAATAAATTATATAACCTGTCATCCTAGGGTTAGGGTTTGGGGTAGGGTTTGAGGTAGGGTTAGGGTAACACATCACGGAAACACGCAAGCTTATTGCTTATTACGACATACAGATCCGCAGGTCCCACATCTACAGTCACTAAGTCTTGCGTCGGAAGAATACGGTCGCTAATGTAATTCGCAGCATGTGGTCTATGAGCGTCTTGCGTCGCAAGACCTGCGGTCGCTACTGTCAGTCGCAGCGCACGGTCTAGCTCTAGCAGGCATGTCGACCTCACTGTGTTTTTTGATTCGTGACTTGTCCGCTCTGTATTTGCACTGCAGCCAAGGGACTGAACTCCGACTAAGCGGCCGTAGCCGTCCAAGTAGCGACCGTTATTGCAAGGAGAACCAAGTAGAGAAATAGTATCTACTGAGATGGGATTGTTAAGTAAAATAAAAATAAAAAGACATTATAAGAGCAGTTTTCACACACATCGGTCAAAACCGGAGCCGTTGATGGAGACGGCACCGGTTCTGGTGAGGGTCTGTTTTCACACACGCCGGCACAATCGATGTCATTGCCACTGGCTGTCATTTACAAACGACGCTGGCATTGTATTTGTGCCGTTTATTAGTGCAGTAGGTGTTTAGTCGAGGTGATAGAAAGATGGGCTCTTCTCTGAACTTCGTCCCCATATTATGGCAACCAAACAAATATCCTAACAGGGCCCTAACAGAGGGAAGGATATAAAGCAACAATTGAGACAGTATGAGTTAACGTAATTACTGGAAGGTGGACAGAGAGTTAAGAATATTATATCATGTAAGGCAGCTCAACAAACTCATGGTGAATTGCTTGGGACTGAATGAGTTCATGAAAAAAATTCACCTTTGGAAAATGCTAAGTTGAAGAAGACACTTGACACCCTCTTTGAAACTTCCTCATGCCCCCCCCCCCCCCCCTCCCCCTCCCCCATCCCACCCTTTCCCGTAGGAGGGGGCATTCCCCCACCCAAGCGGAGACAGCTGATCTGTTATGAAAAAATGTCAATGCAAGTGAGAAGTAGAACTGGTCGGGTTCACAATGCTGTAGTCATAAATGAAGAAAATGTATATTACTGACTTTGTCAGCATATGTCGCAAAAATGGACAATGATACAGTGAATGAAAAAATAAAGAACTGACAGCACTGCCCTCAGGACATTCCCACATGTGCTCTGTCCCCTTTTTCAGCAGCCAGTGATGAGTCGATATGCTATTAGTACCAGTCCGCCTATGTTCTCCCCCACCCCCTCCCCCACAGTGTTGAACATCTTCTAGAACTTCTATTTAAATTTGGAACTGCTGATGATTATACCTGTTTTCGTCTCTATAGTAGGCTGCTTGACAGGCAGTAACCCATAGAGATGGGGTAGGTAGGCAGTTTGAGGTTAATCTGATTGATGTAACATCACTTTTAAAATCTTACCAAATTTGCTAACCAAATGCTGTGAATATTGGATACATCCTTTGTATGCCTTTCTTTTCTTTAGGGATGGGTTTTCCATTGCGTGAACCATTAGCTTGCCAGATTTTGTGATACTGCCAACCATCCACTGGGAGAATGTGCCAGTGTGGAAAATATCGGTGTGCTGCCCTGTTTGTTCGAACATTCCATACGCTGATAGTGTTAGGAGTGCCACTTTCATTACTCTTTAAAGATTCCTGTAAGTTTTCATATAAATCTGTCAGTGATGTTTTAGTAATATATACCTTATGATGAGATGGAAATTGCTGGAATAATTATTAGTAAACAATGCTTAATAAGCTGTGATCTGTATATCTGCCTCATTGTCTGTCTGTCTTAGTGATATCTTCTTTTTTTTTCATCTGTTATATTAGTAATTTGGTCATCTTAGTTTCAGCTTTGTAGCAAACGAGTCACCCCATAGTTGCTCCGCTCCTGTGTTAACGAAAAACACACAGAATGTTTATCCGATTCCTTTATGGAAAGATTGACACTTTTGTCTCAGCATATGCACTAGTACACACGCATTAAAAGCATACGGTAGCCATCGAAAGTGCTAACACAAACAGTTTGACATTAGAAATGCAGTTCATCATCGACGGTAGCAGAAGTCGCTAACTGATCAGCAGTTACACACGCGATCAATGATTAATCACACAAGGGCACCACCAATACTGCCGCGACCGGCAACGTGTCATTTTCTGAATCTACAGTTCTCAACACCAAGCTGGTCGCAGTCGAAAAACAGCCCAAATGAAATCTGCAGCTCACAGGGTCGTGCCATGCACTAAACTCAGTAGCTGGCGCGGCGAAAAAATATCCTTTCAGTCTACAAATGGAACAAAAATGCAACAGCAACCGCCTGGCAGAAGCAAAGAAAAATTTGCCTCGACACGAAACAGTCAACAGTGTTATGTTAGTCTCTAGTTGAGGTTCTGACATCCCTGCAGATGGGTCACCATACGACTGCTCCATTCCTGTGCTAGTGGAGATTACACAGAATATCCTTGACTGTCCCTTTGGAAAACTAGTGAAAACCCTGCCAGTCCCAGGAACATCTTGAAGTTTGCACATACAAAGTGAAAATGCAAATGGTCTATCACAAAAAGCTTGGCTGCCAACACAAAAGTTCACTCCGCTCTGAAAGTAACTGACCACCCCTCAGTTTAATGAGGGGAGCACGCCATGGGCACAAAAGAAGAAAAAAACATTCCACATGAAATCCACAGCTCACAGTGTTGCACCAAGCACTTAGTTCAGTCGTTGGGTGACAGAATCTTTGGACTCTCGGTCCAGAAATCTAGGGTTTACGTCAGACTCCAAACTTTTTCTGCTTCTGCTTCTCTTCCTGTGGTTTCTTAATGTAGATTTTCAGAGAATTATAATGATAGATTTCTTTTTTAATGAAAATGTCATTTTTTCAAGCTTTTATCCAGGTCTGTTTTGTTTTAAGGGATGAAAGGTTTAATAACAGAACATGTTACCTGTGAGAATGAATGGGCTTTTTTTTATAAGCTTTTATTAGGTTCTGTTTTGTTTTAAGATGCTTACAGGTGAAAAGGTTAATGACAAAACAGGTTACAAATGACAGTGAATGGTCTGTTTCAGTGCTGCACCAGTGTCTGGTGGAGGGAGACCATATCCTGCTGGGAGCCCTCTATGTTGCCATGGTCTTCATGGCTCTGGCCATGTATTACATCACTTGTTTTACCGACCCGGGGTATATCGTTGTATCCAGGAGGAAGAAAAAGGTAGATTTTAGGAAGAGTTGTTAGTTCTGTACAAAAGTAAACATCCCCCCAGAAAAATATGTCTTCTTCTTTTTCTTCATCTGCTTCTCTTTCTTCTTCTTCTCTTAGTCTTTTACTTCTTCTTCTTCTTCTTTTTCTTCTTCTTCTTCTCATTCTTCTTCTTCCTTTCATTCTTCTTCTTCTGCTTATTCTTTTTCTTCTTCTTCTTCTTCTTCTTCTTCTTCTGACCATTCTTCTTCTTCTTCTTCAGTCAGCCAAAAAATGGTGTTTGGTACACTGTTAGTATGGTTTACAGCTAGGCTGTCTTCTGTTTCTTTGTGGTTACTGGCTGTTAACTCAATGGGAAAGTTCTGGTTGTTAAATCTGCACCTCTTAGCTCTATACATTCAGTTTCAGCAACACCCTAATTAGTCACCTTTTACAAGATACCTGTTAGTGGAGGCAGAGGAGCTCATCCCCCCCCCCCCCCAAACCCACACTGGTAGTTGCTAGTTCTGCATGTTAGTTAGTTAGTTGCATATCCTTTACAGGACATGGCAGAACCAACCCCAGCATTTTTTGGGCTGTAATGGTTTTTCCAGGCCAATTTATGATCAGTAGTTTGCCATTGCTTTCTGGGCAGTCAGCTTCTGGATACCACTGTCGAAACCAACGCAGGGTGCAAGGCCCAGTTCTACATGAGCAATCATAATGCCTACAAGAGAATATGTCTTCTTCTGCACTTAACCTGAAAAGGATGTTTGGCGTGGTTTACAGCTAAGCCACAATATCTGCGCTTTTCAATCCAACTCATCCAATTTCAGCTAACCCCTAATTAGTCACCTTTTACAGCTGCCTATTTGGTGGAGGAAGGGAGGGAGAGGTGCCAGTAGGTCTGGTTTTTTTCCCTCCCAGAATGAGCTTCTAGATCCCACACGGTGCTATACATGAGCAGACGTACCCACACTGTAATATTGCTTTTTCTGCTGCCTTTTCTTCTTCTTCCTCTTTTTCTTCTGCACTGACCCTCAAAAGTATGATTGACCCTTTGTGTTGTGGTTTACAGGCTAGGCTGGGTTATTTGTGCCCTTCAGCTCAACACATTCGATCTCAGCAAACCCTTAAATATTCACCTTTAAAGACATGCTTGTTTGTAGGGTCTGTTTCTTTTGTTCCCCATATAATGGGACTCACACACTGGGACTTTTGCTCTTTATTCCCTAGTGGAGCATAGGCCCTCAGGTAACTCCATCAAGCTGTCCTATCTCTTGTTATCGTTTATCCCATGTTCTCATTTTTTCGCTTTACTCCGTAATCTTCTTCTTCGTGAATATATAATATTCTACTAAAAAAAATGCATAGCTACTGAAAGGGAGATAATTTTATCATTTTGATATTTAAAATCTGTGAAGTTTAGTGACTTAAATTGTTCAAATTGCACAGAAGAATACCTCAGGGCTCAAACAATCAGTTGACAGTTCTTTTATGTCCAGATCATAGATAGTTTGTAAACCTGAACCCATCCTGAAAGGAGTACCATTAAGTGACCTATAAAGTAAAGATAGACACCAAGGCCACACAGCATGGACTTTAGGAAGAAAAAAGTAAAGATGGCTGGAAATTTCTGATTGTTTGTCCACTTCTGGACTTTGGACTTTTTCAGGACTTGATTTTTATGTGCACATCCTTACAGATCTGGCTTATTTTGCGCAGACTTGAGTCCATGCCTGCCTCTGAGGCTAATATGCTTTGGCTTGAAAAGAAATGTCGATTCTGTCTGTGTTGGCCAAGCCCCTTAAAGGGAGTCCGTTTCTAGGATGACCATGAAGAGGTCTTGTCCTGATGCACTACCACATATGGTTACATCCCAAAATATTCTGACTGCTTGATAGATATCTTATAGAAATAGTGTGACTGCCATATAGATATCTTATAGAAATAGTGTGACTGCCAGATAGACATCTTATAGAAATAGTGTGATTGCCAGATAGACATCTTATAGAAATAGTGTGATTGCCAGATAGACATCTTATAGAAATAGTGTGATTGCCAGATAGACATCTTATAGAAATAGAGTGATTGCCAGATAGACATCTTATAGAAATAGTGTGACTACCTGGTGGACATGTTATAGAAATAGTGTGATAGCCAGATCGACATCTCATCTTATAGAAATAGTGTAACTACCTGGTAGAAATCTTATAGAAATAGTGTGACTGCCAGATAGACATCTTATAGAAATAGTGTGACTGCTAGATAGACATGTTATAGAAATAGTGTGACTGCCAGATAGAAATCTTATAGAAATAGTGTGACTGCAAGATAGACATCTTATAGAAATAGTGTGACTGCTAGATAGACATCTCATAGAAATAGTGTGACTGCTAGATAGACATCTCATAGAAATAGTGTGACTGCCAGATAGACATCTTATAGAAATAGTGTGACTGCTAGATAGACATCTCATAGAAATAGTGTGACTGCTAGATAGACATCTCATAAAAATAGTGTGACTGCCAGATAGACATCTCATAGAAATAGTGTGACTGCTAGATAGACATCTCATAGAAATAGTGTGACTGCTAGATAGACATCTTATAGAAATAGTGTGACTACCTGGTATACATGTTATAAAAAAAAATAGTGTGACTGCCAGATAGACATCTCATAGAAATAGTGTGACTGCCAGATAGACATGTTATAGAAATAGTGTGACTGCCAGATAGACATCTTATAGAAATAGTGGGATGCCAGATAGACATCTTATAGGAATAGTGGGACTGCCAGATAGACATCCGCTGTGAAGAATAATTATATTTGTGATGTAGTATGATGAAGAATCACAGATCTAGTAACCTAATACTTTTTTTGTTTTCTTTTGTTTTCAAGATGATGATGATGAAACGAAGTATTAGTAGTGATGACGAATACAGTAATGGGGACAATGCTGATGTGGGAGTCAAGATGAATGATGATGATGATGTTGACATTGATGAAGAGAATGGACAGGTACTACAAGCCATGAACAAATCTGGGATTAAATATCGTGTGTGTGATTATTGTGAAATCACGGTAAGTTGGTTGCATTTCTTCTTCTTCTTTTTTATACTTCGGCTTCTTCTCCTCCGCCTCCGCCTCCATCACCTCTTCACCTTCTTCTCCTCCTCCTCATCCTCTTTCATCTTTTTTTTTCTTCTGCTTATTTTTGGTTCTACTTGTTCTTCTTTTTATTCTTCTTCTTCTACTTCTTCTTCTACTTCTTTTCCTCTGCCTCATCCTCCTACTGCTATCCGCCTCCTTCTCGTTCTTCTTCTTCGAGTGAATGTAAAATACGCTTTATGTGTCTACTTCTTCAGCATCTGTGAGAGCCATCACAATTTGTTTACTATACATAAAAAGCTAATGCCAGTGTAGCAAGTGATAAATTATACTATCAGAAAGATTTTCACACTGTACCTTGTGTCAGATACATTGAGATGCAGACGAACAAAGGGTTTGGGCACCTCATTAGAATGCAGCTGCATTAGTTACAGTTACAGATGCCACATTTAAGCAGAAAATAAAAGAATGCTCAAGAAGAAGACGGATTGATTGACTGGAATTTGTTGATCTCCTTTGAAGCTGCACATGAATGATTCTGCCATACAATTTAATTCAATATGTTTGCTCTTCTTCTTTTTCTTGAAGTCCATGACATGTAGCGTTGCTTGTCATGTCTATCCACATCCTTCTGTCTCATGTACTTTCAATCAGCTTTGATACCGATGATCCTCCACGCCATCGTGTCAAACTGCACAGCATCAGGTCCCAGTTAATGAATGTTTGTCAAGTAAAGGATCTTTTTTTACTGGATGCATCAGGCTTTCATGTGGAAGATCTGGGTTCGACCCCCGTTAAAGTAATGGGGTTTTTCTGAGGGGGGGGGGGGGGGGGGGGGGGGGTAAACTAAACATCCTAACTGCACAGTAGGTAGTGACATTGCTAGCCATTCCGCCCTGAATCCTCAGGCTCAGACCGCCCCCCCTTCCCTTTTCCAGTGACAATTTTAGTCAGCTCATTTAATTTAAGACTTCAATTTATATAGACCAGTCGGTACTTGGTGAGTGATACAGTCATCATCACACTTCCCCCCTTTAATTCGCAGGGGATTTTTTGGTACCAATTCTAGGCTGGGTCTACCTCAGTCTCTCCCATCCCAGCACTGCTGAATTTTGCCCAGTGTAGATTATTCTTCGTGTTTGCCGACTGTAAATTTCAGCAGAAAGTTCTGGCTGTCCGCCCACTTCTGTAGGTAGACTTTTGGTTCTGTGTCACTCAGGCAGACGCACTCTGACTTCGATGGAGACATCCCTGAGTCAACTTTTACGACATACTTGTTGAGAAGGAGGGTAGGTTTGTTGGTTTTTCCCTCAAAAGTGGGTCCCAAGAATCCAGATTTATGCTTGCAGGTGAGCATCTAAAAACTACCTACCCCAGCTTCCTGTGAATATACTAAATTTATTAGTTATTAGGTTAATTTTCTTCATTGGCCTTTAAAGGAGCGGTTGACACCTTGTGTTATGATTTACCGCTAAGCTGCGATATCTGGACCTTTCGGCCCAACCCATTCAGTTTACAGCCGGCAAATGCAAAGAAGAATTGTTACTGCAATTCCTTAAATGTTACTGACATTTCTTAATTGTTGCTGCAATTCCTTAAATGTTACTGACATTTCTTAATTGTTGCTGCAATTCCTTAAATGTTACTGACATTTCTTAATTGTTGCTGCAATTCCTTAAATGTTACTGACATTCCTTAAATGTTACTGACATTCCTTAAATGTTACTGACATTCCTTAAATGTTACTGACATTCCTTAAATGTTACTGACATTTCTTAATTGTTGCTGCAATTCCTTAAATGTTACTGACATTTCTTAATTGTTGCTGCAATTCCTTAAATGTTACTGACATTCCTTAAATGTTACTGACATTCCTTAAATGTTACTGACATTCCTTAAATGTTACTGACATTCCTTAAATGTTACTGACATTTCTTAATTGTTGCTGCCATTTCAGCAACCAATGAGAGCCAAGCACTGTGAGGATTGTAACAAGTGTGTCCGCAAGTTTGACCACCACTGTCCCTGGCTGGAGGCTTGTATTGGAGAGAGGAATCACCGATACTTCTGGCTCTTTCTCCTGTCAACCTTCGTCCTGATTGTTTGCACTATGTACATTACCTGGTAAGTCTGTAACTCTTTCACTCCCAGATGGGCGTTGCCGTAACTGGTTGTGTCTTAAACATGTGTCCATCATAGTCAAAGTGCATTTCCTGAAAGGTGAGGAACTAACAGTCTGCTTGCAAATAAACCAGACCTGTAAAGCGGATACGCACTCAAGTTGTAGAACATGACCAAAGTCCAGAAGTGGATGAACAACTAGGACTTTCTGCCGGAGTTTACAGCCAGTGAGCACGAAGAAGAAGAAGATACCCTAGCTGTAAACCACAACACAGCGTGTCAGCCACCAGTTTAAGAATGAGTGCAGGGGTAGAATATCTCTAAGGATGCTTTATGTTTGTATTTTGCGTGGGTCTGACAGTCGGGGGACTTGTGAGGTGACAGAATCAGTGATCTGACAATTGACATCAATTAACCTGGGTCATTCCCATACATGCTGCATCCCCTTCCTCAGTAGCCAACAAAGAATTCTCAAGCCTGCCAGTTGCACCCTGATGACAAGTTTGCCTTTCCTTTCTCCTGTGCATTGATTACTGTTCAGATCTTATGCTCACTCCACACTGAAATAGCCCCTCCAGCCATAAATACTCTATTCCTCTGTTCATTGTTCTTCCTCTTCTTAGTCTTCACAAGCTGTAAACTTGGTGGAAAATCCTGGTTGTTTGTCCACTTCTGGACTGTGGTTTTGTTCCAGAACTTGAATTTTCTATGCACATCTGTGTCACAAATCTAGCTTATTTGTATGCAGACTGTTGGTGCCTGGCCTTTAGGGTGGATACACCTCGACTTGGAAGGAAACACTCCTAATTAGCCCCCTTTTACAGCTTGCTTAGAGTGGGGGGAGGGGGGAGGCGGACGGTGGGTCTCTTCAATTTTTCCCTTAAATGGGTCCCAGAATCCCACACAGGGAGCACTATTCACTTGAACTCACAGAGCCTTCACCACAGCATTGTTGCCTGGAAGCTACAGTGGTGTATCAGCTAGTTGCTGCGCCTGCCAGCCTGAGTTTTTTTAGTTTGAATCCACCTCGAGTCAGATTTTTGTCAAAAGCGGCTTTGGCTCCCCATGACCCATCCTGAAATCGGTACCAAGTAATGTCCCGGGAAGTAAAGATGGCCGGTTTGATGATGACTGCACCGCCCATCGAGGACCGGTTCATCTATAAATATATGAGTTTAGCATCAAGTATTTGGTGCGCCACTGCGGTGAAAAAGGTCTTTTACCTTTAACATGCCGCCCAAAGGAGCAGCAGCAGCAGTTGATCCATCAGCTTGCTTGTTACCAAGCACAGCTGCATATCCTTGGCAGAAAATCTGTGATATGCACCTGATCTTAATCTTACTGACCATTGTAAGACACCCTACGCATAGAACACCACTTTCTATCTTCTAAAGCATGCTGTGTGAAACAGTTAGAAATTAGGCTGTACTGTTCTCCAGCCATCAGAAATGTGTCATTAAGAAAGGGTCAAGGACCCACGTCACGGCAGTAGCACATGAATCATATGATACTAGACTTGTGTTCTTATAGACCAATCAGCTATCAGTGGGTGATTACGCTGAACCCACCATCTTTGAGCCGACAGATTAGCTTCTAGCACCCGCAGAAAACTGCTGTTCTTCTCCTGCCTGTCTAGCCCCCCTATGGAGCATAGGCCCTCAACCAACTTACGCCAAGTCATTCTATCTTTTGCTATCGCATGCAGCTCTCCCCATGTCCTCCCCATCTTTCTAACTTCATTCTCCAACTTCCCTCTCCATGTGTTTTTTGGCCTTCCTTTATTCCTATGTGGGTTCCAGTGCAAAGACATTCTAGTTATATTGTTCTCCAGTTTTCTCAATGTGTGTCCTATCCAGCATCAGCATCTTTTCTTCACCTCTTGGTCCACTGGAGCTTGCTTAGTTCTCTCCCAAAGCTCTACATTAGTGATTCTATCACACCATTTAACTCCCTCTATTGTGGGCAGGCACCAGTTAAAGAATGTCTGTAGTTTATTAGTAGTTGCCTTAGTTGTTCTCCATGTTTCCGCTCAACACAAAAGTACTGATTTGACATTAGAATTAAACATTTAAAGTTTAGTATTTTTTTAAAATTTCTTTTGACTCCACAAATTCCCTAGTGCTATGAAAGCTCCTCTTGCTTTTTGTATTCTTATTTTAATATCTCTATCAGTTCCCCTTTGTACATGAGGCTGTTTTTTAAAGCAGTCTGACTGACATAACTAAGAACAGATAATACTTCTTCTATTCCAAAACCAGGAACGCATTTGAATTCAAACTGTTTTGGTCTGACTGGCTGGAAACAAATGCCATCCTCTTCATTGATCTGTTTATCTTGTGTTTTGGTGGTTTAATTGTTGTTGGGCTCCTGGGCTTCCATAGTTATCTCATGTTGAAGGTAAGTTTTAAAATCTGGACTTCCATAGTTATTTCATGTTTAGGGTAAGCAATTTTAAAATCTGACCTTTTATTTTAACCTTATGGTTAAGGTAAGTTTTAAAATCTGGATTTTCATTGTTACCTTGTGTTTAAAGTAGGCAGTTTTATCATCTAGCCTTCCATCCACAAACTTCATGTTAAGGTTATATTTCACAATATAGGAATGTAACCTTTATAGAAACAGTGAAAACCATGTAATTTGTAATATACAATCTTGGAACTGAACAGTTATTAGAACAGTGAAAACCAGGGTAGTTTGTAGTGGGATGTCTAGGAATTGAGCCAAATCTGGACATAATCAGAGTTGAGCTGATTTACAGTGTGCCATCTAGGAATTGAGCCATTCTTGACATAATCAGAGTTGAGCTGATTTACAGTGTGCCATCTAGGAATTGAACCATTCTTGACATAATCAGAGTTGAGCTGATTTGCAGTGTGCCATCTAGGAATTGAGCCATTCTTGACATAATCAGAGTTGAGCGGATTTACAACATACCATTTGGGAATTGAACCATTCTTGACATAATCAGAGTTGAGCTGATTTACAACATACCATTTGGGAATTGAACCATTCTTGACATAATCAGAGTTGAGCTGATTTACAACATACCATCTGGGAATTGAACCATTCTTGACATAATCAGAGTTGAGTTAATTTACAGTGTGCCATCTAGGAATTGAACCATTCTTGACACAATCAGAGTTGAGCTGATTTACAACATACCATTTAGAAATTGAACCATTCTTGACATAATCAGAGTTGAGCGGATTTACAACATACCATTTAGGAATTGAACCATTTCTATAAAAGCAGATAAAATATCACAGTGAGGGACATTTGATTTGATTTGCACTTTCACAAGAGCGGAGCAAGTATGGGGGAAACATAATTGCAAGGAAGTTAAAACCGTAACTAAGACTAAGAGTGTAAAAGCAGAGCTTAGACAGTTTGGTTTAGATGACGGATCAACATCATGGCACAAGGGGTAACCCATAAATGCTCAGTTCTGCTTCTAACTCAAGCCTGACTCCGGAGGTTCTTAGCGCAGTGCATGAACTCCGTAGCACTGGGGAAGATCCTGAAATACTTTAGGTAGATTTTTCAACTCCAAATTTTGCCCAGGCTACTCTTTTCAATTTCCAACTGCCAAGGGATATTTTACCTGTTCAACAATACACACGGGCGTCTGACCCAGAGACTTGGAGGAATTACTAGAAGTCAACATGAGAAAATCCCAGCCTTTACCGGGGCCTGAACCTGGAACCTCTAGCACTCGAGGTGGACACCATGCCTTGAGACCATGCCCCCCCCCCCCCCCCCCATCCCCCCCCCCCCCCCCCCCCCCCAGCAGAGCTAATTTATAGTGTGCATTCAACCGTTCCAAAATGTGATGCAATTTTGCGTTATTTAAAAGCCACATTCCAGCTCTTGTTGGGTGCTTTAGTATAACCTAATGGTTTAACAAGCTTTCTGGGGCCTGTCCGGGGAGGTTCTCATTCAAATCATTCATCCATCGGTCTTATGTCTGGTGGGGTTGAACTTCAATCACAGTGCGCATTCTCAAAAGTACTACTAAAAACATTTTCAGCAAATAATATGTTGTTTTCTGCAGGGACTAACGACTTGGGAGGCTGCCTCAAGGGAGAGAATCACGTATCTGAAATACCTCGATGAAGATTACAACCCGTTTAACGAGGGAGTTTGTCGAAATTTGTATCAGTTCCTGTGTGCATGCGACTTACGAAAATGGGAGCGAGTTTATGCTCACAAGGCTAAAGAAGCAAATGGTGTTGTCTGACCGGATCGAACCCTATCTTATCAAATTTGTGTGGATAAACTACCAGAATTTTGGCTGTTTAGGAAACATTTGAGGGTAGCTAAATTGATATTTGACACTCAATTTTGTTAACTGATGTTTTATACTGAATATATCAATTGATCTCCGATGTGAGTTTCTAAGATGTGACATCTACCCAGTAACAAATTACCATCATCATATCCTGTTGTGCTGTGACATTTTCTTTCTTTTCTTCTTCTTGTTGAGGTCAGAGCATGCATGGGAATGCCCCGAGTGCTGTGATGTTAATTCTTGACTCTACTCAACTCTTCTTCTTCTTTTTCTTTGGCATTCTGAGCCCCAGAGGTTTGTTGCTTCAGATATCATCTGTCGCCATTTGTCTCTTTGATTAGCCCTCTCTTTCCATTTGGCAACTCCAAGTATGTGCAGGTCTGCCTGTAAATTATCTCTCCATCGTCTCCTTGGTCTGCCTCGTGATCTACAACCACTCATCTCCCTTGTGTGCACAGTTTTTACCTCTCTGTCATGGCCCCAGCCATTTCAGTCTATTAGCTCTCATGATGCCAATGATCGGTGGTGATTCAAACAGATTAGGAAATTTGTTGTTGCTTCTCACTCTTTATTCTCTGCTGTTTTCTGTGACATCTACCCAGTAATAAATCACCATTATTCCATGGTGCTGTGACATCTGCCCAGTAATAAATCATCATTATTTCATGGTGCTGTGACATCTGCCCAGTAATAAATCATCGTTATTCCATGGTGCTGTGACATCTGCCCAGTAATAAATCATCATTATTCCATGGTGCTGTGACATCTGCCCAGTAATAAATCATTATTCCATGGTGCTGTGACATCTGCCCAGTAATAAATCATCATTATTCCATGGTGCTGTGACATCTGCCCAGTAATAAATCATCATTATTCCATGGTGCTGTGACATCTGCCCAGTAATAAATCATCATTATTCCATGGTGCTGTGACATCTGCCCGGTAATAAATCATCATTATTCCATGGTGCTGTGACATCTGCCCAGTAATAAATCATTGTCATTTTTTTTAATTTATCCTAGTTAACCTGTAATAGATGGACCCTAAATATTTGTCACCTATTTGAGTTTGGTATAAAATGTCTTTTGGGAGGGGGAAGGGATATGAAATGTCCTTCTTTTTAAAATACATTTATTTGTAATCAGTTAACTTTTTTACTTGAAATGTCATCTGTTGATGTGTGAAATGGAATATGAAAATACTGACATTTGTGTTGATGTTTCAAGGGACATATCATAAGCTGATGTTGCATGTAAAACATATCACATCTTGACATTTACTTGTAATCACGTAAATCTTTTTTTTTTAATGAAATGCCATAAGCTGATGTTTAATTGGATATATTAAGTGTGAATATCATACAGTTTTGTAAGATTTTATCATGTTTTCTTCTTCTTCTTTTTTCTTCATCTAGAACTATTTTGTTTGGCTGTGATTTTGGTGTTTTTGTTTGCAGCAGACCTACCCTTTTTGCACCTTATAGCCGACACATCTGACTTCAGCCTTGTTGAATTTGTAATATTTTATATAAAGCAGGAAGTATATTTAGTCAGCAAAGTTGACGGTTAACTGTAGTCTGCAACACTTCTGTGCTTATCATTCTTCTTTGTCTTCTTCTTCTTCTTTTTTTTTTTTTCTTCTGTATTTATCTAGTTCCATCACTAGGCTGTTGGTTGACTTCAGTCTCTAACATTCTGTGTTTATCATTCATCCATCACTGGGCCGACAGTTGACTTCAGTCTCCAACACTTCTGTGTTTATCATTCATCCATCACTGGGCCGACAGTTGACTTCAGTCTCCAACACTTCTGTGTTTATCATTCATCCATCACTGGGCCGACAGTTGACTTCAGTCTCCAGCACTTCTGTGTTTATCATTCATCTATCACTGGGCCGTCAGTTGACTTCAGTCTCCAACACTTCTGTGTTTATCATTCATCCATCACTGGGCGACAGTTGACTAGTCTCCAACACTTCTGTGTTTATCATTCATTCATCACTGGGCCGACAGTTGACTTCAGTCTCCAACACTTCTGTGTTTATCATTCATCCATCACTGGGCCGACAGTTGACTTCAGTCTCCAGCACTTCTGTGTTTATCATTCATCCATCACTGGGCGACAGTTGATTAGTCTCCAGCACTTCTGTGTTTATCATTCATCTATCACTGGGCCGTCAGTTGACTTCAGTCTCCAACACTTCTGTGTTTATCATTCATCCATCACTGGGCCGACAGTTGACTTCAGTCTCCAGCACTTCTGTGTTTATCATTCATCCATCACTGGGCGACAGTTGACTTCAGTCTCCAACACTTCTGTGTTTATCATTCATCCATCACTGGGCCGACAGTTGACTTCAGTCTCCAACACTTCTGTGTTTATCATTCATCCATCAATGGGCCGACAGTTGACTTCAGTCTCCAACACTTCTGTGTTTATCATTCATCCATCACTGGCCGTCAGTTGACTTCAGTCTCCAACACTTCTGTGTTTATCATTCATCAATCACTGGGCCGACAGTTGACTTCAGTCTCCAACACTTCTGTGTTTATCATTCATCCATCACTGGGCCGACAGTTGACTTCAGTCTCCAACACTTCTGTGTTTATCATTCATCCAATTCCATTGCTAGGCTAGCGGTCATCTTTTGTCTCCATTACATCTGTATGTAACAGTCATTCTTTTCCATCTCTGGGCTGACAGTTCGGCTGTAGTCTCCATCAGTTCACTATTTATTGTTCATCCAGCTTAGTCGCTGGGCTGACGGTTGGCTCTGATTAGTTTCTGACACTTCTTCATTTACGATTCCGTGATATTAATTGTTGTTTTAGTGAAATTTCTCACTTGCCAGTGTCTTCTTTGGGCTCTCCTACTGTCAACTCAGGCAGAAAGTTCTTTTTTTTTCATCCTGGTGATTTAGTTTAGTTTCAGACCTTGAGTTGTTCTTGCACATCTGTGTTTCTGAATTGGCTTATTTGTATGCAGACTGTTGGTTCTTGTCTCTCTGGCAGATGCACTTCGACTTCGAAGAAAACGCCCCAGTTTAGTTACCTTTTATGATGTGCTTGTTTGGGGAGGCAGTTGGTATTTTTTTTCTCCTCCCACAATGGAACTTTGAAACATGCCAGTGTGAAAATCTAACATTTCATATAGCGAAGTTTGACATGTAATAAATAAATGTATTGTATGAAATATCATACATTGTGAGTTGACAAAACATATCAAACATTGATGTTTATTATTACTAATGTTTGACATGAAAGACCATTTGCTGATGTCGTACCTGAAAATGTCGTATTTGCTGATGTTGTACCTTTTGACCTACAGTGTCAAAGATGTCATACACTAATGTTTGAGTTATTGTTATCCTCTTGGCACCCCGGACATGTCCATAGCTGCTCAGATTCCCCACTCAGCATCCAACAGTTAATAGTGTCACTTCTGTGCTGATTGACTTTGTGTAAATCTTGTGTGTCTCTCATGCTTGACTGTACCAGTATTTACTCCCAGTTCTCATTCTTAACAACAATGTGGACGTATCGCCCCCACATCCTCTGATACACTGTTGTTTGACAGGACTGATATTTAGCAGGTCTAACTTTTGACCTGACTGATGTTTGACATGACTGTTGTTTGACATGGCTGTTGTTTGACATGACTGATGTTTGACATGACTGATGTTTGACATGACTGATGTTTGACCTGACTGATGTTTGACCTGACTGATGTTTGACATGACTGATGTTTGACATGACTGATGTTTGACCTGACTGATGTTCGACCTGACTGTTGTTTGACATGACTGATGTTTGACATGACTGTTGTTTGACAGCAGATGTTATTATAGAATTTATTTTCATATATTCAAGAATAATATGTTATAAATAGGCGTTTGGCATAAAATATCAAACATATATATTTGACATTGCCAGAAATGTCACATGACATATCATTAGTCAGAGTTTTTATTAAACACCAGATGGGAATTTTCACCATGAAACTTCACACACATATCTTTGATATAACATAAAATATCATTTACCAGTGCTGGAGACCTCAAATATAAAGATACTGATTTTCCTTTGAAGAGGTTGCGAAGTCCAGATAAACGGATAAGAGCAGCACGACTAGACAATCATGCAAAAGCTCAATTTGTTACATCAACCAGTGCAGAACAGGAGTCTTCAGCATAAATATGGGAAGAAATACAGATAATGAGAAGATCTGAACACTTATGGCTCTGCCTGACATGCAGTGAAGATGATCCTGAAATGAACAGTCGTTGGTCTGGAGTTTTCATTACGTACCAGAGGTGACTTTCTCACCATGAAACATCACATGCCTGTCTTTAATATTCCTGAAATATAGCATGAAATATCATTATTCAAGAGTTTTCATTCAATGCCACATGTGATTGTTTACCATGAAATACCATAAATGGATGTTGCGCCTTCTGCTTCGCATTCATCGACTTTAAAGTCCTGGTGGTTTGTCCACTCCTGGACTTTTTGTCTTGTTCCAGGATTTCAGTGTTGCATGCACATCTGTTTTACACATCTGGTTTATTTGTGTGCGCACTGTTGGCTGCTCACTTCTCAGGTTACGGCACTCTGATTTTAAAAGAGAAATGTTGATCCTGTCTACATTGACCAGGCTGTCAGTTGAGAACCTGTTTCTACGCTGCCCACGGAGAGTTGTGGATAGGTGTTGATTAGTGTCCGCCCTGGATCTGGCACACCACCGCTGCATGTGGTTTGGCACCTTGGCATCCCCTGTTGCACCTGAAATGTTGCACCGGAATTTTGCACCTGAAAAATCACTCATCACATGTATCAAATTTAAGTCATTGTTGTGTGGTATAAAATACTGTACATTGACATTTACATAAAGTGACGAGACTAAATGACAATGACATTTGTTGTACCTCATCCTGGTTGTGTGAATTCTGAA